ACATCCCCTGTTCTGAGGCCCCTCCCAGCTCTGACATCCCCTGTTCTAGGTTCCCTTCCACTTCCGACATTCTGTGGTGGTGTTGGTGTTTCTTGAAGTATTTAAATGCCCTACCACTTTGAGCTAATATTGTCAATAACATCATGAGGCTCTAGTAGTCATATACTATTAAGGTAATCTTGTCATAATTAATCATCGAAGTGATTCCTGTGACCGCTGCTCATGTGGGTGAGGCCCCCACAAATCGCAGAAGCTCCTTTGCATCTAATACAGATGAATTTGGCAGGGGTGGGAGGGGAAAGGTGAATAGGAGATTCCGGTCACTGAATCCTCAGTGTCCCCAGAAGACATCGCCCCCCACTTCCCCTTCCAGATTTTTCAGCACATTATCCGCCGGGAGGTGACGGATGAGGATGCGAGACATCTGTCCCGCAAGTTCAAGGACTGGGCATACGGGCCTGTGTACTCATCTCTCTATGACCTGTCCTCGCTGGACACCTGTGGGGAGGAAACCTCAGTTCTGGAGATCCTTGTATATAACAGCAAGATTGAGGTGAGGCCTTGCTGGCCCGATGGGGCTGCCTTGGGGTGGGGCTGGGGCCTGGGTGAAGGGAGCAGGAGCTCTTGGATAAGGGATCCTGGTCTTGCCACACATTAGCTGTGTGACCTTGGGTAAGTCCTTTCTCCTCTCCAGTCCTTAGAAAGTCTCCAAGGTCCTTTATTGCTCTAAATTCTATGAACCTGCTCTGTCCAAGAACCCAGCTCTGATATTTTCTGGGTTAGCTACCTGAAGCAAGGACTAGAAGGTGTCTCCAGCAGTACTTGGCTCATTAGAATGTGATCCCCTTGAGGGCAGGGGTTTTGCTTTTTCTCGTATCCCCAGTGCTTAGAACCATGTCTGGCATACAGGGGGAGCTTAATAGATGCTTGTTGATTAATTCATGGAGGAGGTATTCCTGACTCATGGAAAATGGGAGACTTCAGCTTGGTCTTGAAGGGTGGCAACAGCTGGAGAGAGAGAAAAGAGAAGGAAAGGAAAGGATGTTCCAGGGGCCGAGGGTTAGATCAGCAAAGGAATGGAGGCAGGACGGTCTGAGGAGTAGTAGGGTGCCATTGAGAATTCCACTTTGGCCGGAGTGTCTGGTACATTTAGGAGAGGACTGGAAGACAGATGGAGTTGGGCCTTGAAGGTCAGGCAAGGAAATGTAGACTTTCTCCTTGTCCCAACCCAGATCTCTGGAGTGCTTTAGGGAAGGGCCTGCCAGGTGGGGAAGGCCCCTGGGTCTGAATGAGCCCAAGAACACTGTAACTGGCCTGGCTCAGGGCCTTACCCTTTCCCTGATTCTTTTTCCATCCTCCCCTCCTCAGAACCGCCATGAGATGCTGGCTGTAGAGCCAATCAATGAGCTGCTCCGGGACAAGTGGCGAAAGTTTGGCGCCGTCTCCTTCTACATCAGCGTCGTCTCTTATCTGTGTGCCATGATCATCTTTACCCTCACTGCCTACCACCAGCCCCTGGAGGGCACGGTGAGTTCAGGGGCTGTCCCAGACTCAGGGGCAGCCAGCTCCCAATCCTGTTGGCCAACCAAGCTTATGGAGTTCTTCAGGGACTCATGAAAGCTGGAATGGATGCCATTGGTGTTGGAAGAGGTCACTCTTATGTGGATGAAACCTCTAGTCTTTTCCAACTAGCCTTGGCTCTGCCCAAGAAGCCAGCCTGGGGCAGCCCAAGCTGCTGAGACCCCAAGGTAGTGAGGGAACATGCAATGGAGGCATGGAATGATGGAAGGGCAGCACCAGAGGCCATGGGAGCATCTGCTTGGGCAGCTGTCTGATGATAGGTCTGCCTTTCTCCTGCCCTCCCCAGCCCCCGTACCCGTACCGCACAACCGTGGACTACTTGCGGCTTGCCGGAGAGATCATCACCCTTTCCACTGGAGTCATATTCTTTCTCTCTAGTGTGAGTGCGAAGTTCTCCACCCTTACTCTTCTTTCTCCAACTCCTTCCCCTTTCTCCACATTTCTCTTCGTCTCCTGCTTTCTTCTCTCTATCCTGTTCCTTGTCCTCCTTCCCTTCTTCCCTTTTTTATTTTCTCTTTCATCTCCCACACTCTTTTAGTTCTCCTCCTTCCATATCCTTTCTCCTCTTCCTTTTCCCTCCCTTCTTCCTCTCCCTTCCATCCATTTTTCTTCCCTTCTTTTTCTCCTATTCTTCTTTCTTCCCTTCCTCCTTTGTCTTTTTCTTAAGGGGTAATGTAATAGCTCTCCTCACATATTTGAAAGACTATCACATTGAAGAAGGTCCAGATTTGCTCTGCTTGGCCCAAGAGGAAAGAACCAGGAACAAGGAAAGCACATCTAGGCTAGATATAGGAAAAGGTGACTACCAGCAAGAGCTGTATGGGAGAATTGGCTGCCTGCAGAAATACAAGACCCCATTAGAGGTCTTCTGACGAAAGCTAGTTGACCGCTTGTTGGGAACACTTGAGGGAGGAGAGACTCTTTTTCAGGGATGGGTTGAATTGGATGAACCATGAAGTTCTCTCCATTAAGAGATTTTGTAAAAGATAATGGGTTTCCCGTCAGTGGAGACCTTCAACTGTAGGTGGCCGACCAGTTGTCCAGGATGTTGCAGAGGAAATATTCAGGTATTGCTTGGATTAGATGGTCCCTGAAGGCCCTTCCAGTTCTGAAATTCTGTGTTTTTCCTGTTTTCCAACTCTCTCTTACTTTTCCTTCTACCTCTTCCCCATCTGTACTTGAACATGGCGTAGTGGATAGAACACTGGACTTGGAGTCAGGAAGACTTGGGTTCTTAAATACCAGTTATGTGATCCTGGGGAGCTTAACCTCTCTTGACCTCTGTGGGCTTCACTTAGCTCATCTATAAAATGAAGAGGTTAGATTTCTGGCCTCTAAAGTCCCTTCTATGACCCCAGCACTTAGCACGGTGCTTGGCACATTTGTTGTTGTTGTTCAATCATGTCCAACTCTTCATGACCCCATTTGGGGTTTGCTTGGCAGAGATATTGGAGTGGTTTGCCATTGCCTTCTCCAGTTCATTTTACAGATAAGGAAACGGAGGCAAACAAGATGAAGTGACTTGCCCAGGGTCATATAGCTAGTAAGTGCTTGACACATAGTAGGTTCTTAATTAATCCTTGTTGACTGACTTCATCTCCCCTCCACAGATTAAAGACCTTTTCATGAAGAAGTGCCCAGGAGTGAATTCTTTATTTGTTGACGGCTCCTTTCAGCTGCTTTAGTAAGTTTTAGGACGGACATCCTTGGGAGTACAATGATTTCCATTTTCCTGTGTGGATAGGGAATACTGGTTAATCCAATATTCTGGTTGACAGAGACTTAGCATGTTCATTGTTGTACCTGGTTTTCCAATTTCCAGAGAATTAAAATGAAATACAATTCACTCCACTAGACAAAATACATTGTCCTTTGATCCAGTTCAATCCAGCTAACCCTACTATGTGCAGGGCATTGGGGATACCGAGACAAAAAGAAACAGAAGACCCAGAGAATGCTTTGTGTTAGGATCCTGCGGGGTCTGAGACTCCCCTTCTGACCATCTGTACCATGGTTGTGTGGACTTGTGGCCTCCACCAACAGAATGGAGGCCTTTTGAGGGCAGGAAGCACCTTGTATTGTTCTTTGTATTTACATTATAGTAGATGTATATAGTATACTGTATATACCTGATACATTTATAGTTTATATTATATTTACATTACATATGCTTAATGAGTCCATCAGCCTTTATCAAGAACTTAGTAGGTGCCAGGCCCTGCAGATGCAAAGAAAAATGCTTATGGATTGCTTGTTTGGGTTAAATGTATGTTGTGTAACCGAGAAAGACCACTGGATAATGACGATGATGAAGATGACTAGTATTTCTATACCTGTTTAAGGCTTTACAAAGCATTTTATGTATGTTACCTCATTTGACCTTCACAATAACCCTGGTAGTTGGGTGCTTTTATTCTCCTCGTTTTACAGATGAGGAAACTGAGGCACTGACTTGCCCAGGGTGGCACCCAGCCAGTAAGTGTGTTAGGCAAGATTTGAACTCAGGTCTGCCTGACTCCCAAGTCCAGCCCTCCAGGCACTGTGTGACCCAGACGCCTTAGTGTCTCTGGATTTTGTGTATTTGCCTTCTTTTGAGTCAGTATGGTGTGACCACTTGAGTTCTGGACTTGGATTCAAGAGGACATGGGTTCACATCCCACCTGACTCTGCAGTGCTAAAATGGAGAATACTAATAACATTTCTGGGACCTACATCAGAGGTTTTGGTGAGGCTCAAATTTAAGACCTTTTGCAAACCTGCAAGGCCTATAGAAATTGCTGTTGTCTCCTCATTTTTCAGTCATGTCTGATGCTTCGTGATCCCATTTGGGGTTTTCTTGGCAGAGATACTGGAGCGGTTTGCCATTTCCTTCTCCAATCCATTTTAAAGATGAGGATACTGAGGCAAACAGGGCGAAGTGACTTGCCCAGGGTCACACAGCTAATACGTGTCTGAGGAAGACTCAGGTCGTCCAGCCCCGGCACTCTATGCACTATGGCACCACTTAGCTACCCCTATAGAAATAGCAGCTCATATTGTGATTTCTGTAAGGTCATGGATGCCTCCTATTCAGTCTCCCTCACTGCCTTCCACTGCATTCTGGTGAGCAAGCAGGGAACATTTGGGAGTATGAGTAATCCCCTAAAGGGAGGAATACCACAGATCCCTGGATACCCACAGAACTATGGTAGGGACACACAACCTACTCCTTAAAGATATATAGGCTGGCACCCTAGCCTTGGGCAGAGGACCTGGGTTCAAACCTCAGCTTTGCTATTGGCCAGCTGTGTGACCTTAGGCATGTAAATTCTCCTCCTGAGCCTCAGTTTCCCCCCAAAAGAGAGAACTGGACTCAGGGATCTCTAAGCCCTCCTCCGCTCTTAATTCTGCAAGTGGTCCATTTCTGGGGCTCAGAAGAGTGTGCCAGGCAGAGGATCACTGTGGCTCTCAGCCAGGCTCCCCCTGTAACCTCCTTCCATCCAATTCCGCCCCCAGCTTTATTTACTCGGTGCTAGTGATTGTCTCTGCTGGACTGTACCTGGCGGGAATCGAAGCCTACCTGGCAGTCATGGTCTTCGCCTTGGTCCTGGGTTGGATGAACGCTCTCTACTTCACTCGGGGGTTGAAGCTGACGGGGACGTACAGCATCATGATCCAGAAGGTGGGCTGGGAGCCAGGTCTGCACGCCCACGTAGCAGCTAGGTGGTGGGGTGGTTAGAACGTTCAGCGGGGAGCCAGGGAAGTCTGGGTTCGAATCCCTCCTCAGACATTCCCTAGCTATGTGACCCTGAACCAGCCAGTTCCCTTATGTAAGCCTCAGTTTCCCCAATCCCCAAATGAGGCTGATAATAATAACTTAATAATAATTCTTATCATCTGTCACGGGGTAACTCATTGAATGGGGGCAGTGTAGGAGAAGCACACAGTTGGGGGCAAAGGGAGACAAACTGTGTTTCCTTTCTTTCCCTTCACATCCTGGCTGGGCATCTCAGATTCTGTTCAAAGACCTTTTCCGTTTCCTGCTGGTCTATCTCCTCTTCATGATTGGCTATGCTTCAGGTAAGCTCTGGGTTACTAGGTGTGATTCGGAGGATGGGGACCACATGGAGCCAGAGGGGAGTTCTTTGGGGACTGGCTCACCTTCCAGTTGGCATGGCGCAATGGAACGGGTGCTGGATTTGGAATCAGAGGATGCGTTTTCAAATTCTAGCTCTGCCCATTTACTGTCTTTGTCACCCTGGGCAAGTCATTTAACCGCTCTGTGCCTCAGTTTCCTCATCTATAAAATGATTTATAATCTGTAATCTGGATGTCATAGGAGCATAGCTTCGGAGATAAGGGACCTCGAGGGTCCCTGAGTCTTACTGTTGAGGAAACTGAAGCTCAGTGACTTTCTAAGGTCACACAGTAAATGTCTCAGTCTTTCTGATTCCAAGCCCTATGTGCTGTAACGTTGGGACTGAAATGAATGACCTTTAAGGTCCATTCCAGTTCTAAATCTGTGAAGTGGCATCCAGTTATATGTGCTACCCAGTTCAATTGTCCCTCTCGGCTGGCTGGAGTATTTTAGTTAGAAGCCAAGGGCTTGGGGCTGGTCTGGTCTCCTCCTGCCTGGGAATTCTGGGCATTCAGGACTCCAGGGACCTCTGAGGATGACCTGGAAGGTCATCCCTGGAGCCTTTAGTCACTGCTTCTTGCTCATGCTCCCCCAGCTCTGGTCTCGCTGCTGAACCCATGCTCCAGTAATGCCATCTGCAACGAGGACCGTTCCAACTGCACAGTCCCCAGCTACCCGTCCTGCCGGGACAGCCAGACCTTCAGCACCTTCCTCCTGGACCTCTTCAAGCTGACCATTGGCATGGGCGATCTGGAGATGCTGAGCAGTGCCAAGTATCCCGTGGTCTTCATCATCCTGCTGGTGACTTACATCATCCTCACCTTTGTGCTGCTACTGAACATGTTGATTGCCCTCATGGGGGAGACAGTGGGCCAGGTGTCCAAGGAGAGCAAGCATATCTGGAAGCTGCAGGTAGGGAGAGCTACCAGAGCCCGGGCCGTGGGCCTTGGGAGTCAGGAGATCCAGGCTAACAGTCTGGAACCTGGGCATCAGGAGAGATGGGCCTTGAAAGTTTGGGGAGGGGCTAGGTGGTGCAGTGGATAGAGCCCAGCCCTGGATTCAGGAGGACCTGAGTTCAAATCCGGCCTCAGACACATGACACGCACTAGCTGTGTGACCTTGGGCAAGTCACTTAACCCTATTGCCTAGCCAAAAGAAAAGAAAGAAAGAAAGAAAGAAAGAAAGAAAGAAAGAAAGAAAGAAA